TGAATTCTAACCTCTGTTATTTTTCAACTATCTATGAAATTCTACTGAAATGAGGAATAATTTAGAATCTGAAATTATATTGGCGTTACAGTGCACCAAAGATAAATACATCAGTGTATGTATAAAAATTTATCTATTCATTGGGAGTTATATAGGCCTAAATCAGAGGAATTTATCTCTACGCTCTCGTGAACATGTTCCTGTTTGGTCTGAGAAAAGTGTAACCAAATCAATAAAAATAGTGCCATCTTGTCTAACTTAGTAGATAGATAGATGAGTCATTTACACTTGTATGTTGAGTGTGAAACAATCTGCATGGACGTACACATTTACATCTCCTAGCTATAGAGGAAGCTATATAGATTAATAAGAAAATAAACTGACCTATGTGTGCAAACATTAACGATCATCATTGAACAAAGCTTGGAATGACAGTCACTTCTTTATCTCAACTTTATCGACCTTGAAAAGGCATTCGACAGCGTCGATCGACAGGTGATTTGGAAACTACTTCACTACTACGGGTGCCGCCGACAATTATACATCTCATCCAACAGTTGCACGACAGTGCTGCATGCTAAGTAATCCACAACGGGAAACTCACGGAATCCTTCGAAGTAAAGATGAGAGTAAGACAAGCTGGCTACCTACTAAATCCAATGATTTTACTGATTGCGGTAGACTGGATAATGCAACAGAATGCGGGCAGCGAGGAAACAGGCATAAAATGGACTCACACAAAAAACTTGGAGGATCTGAACTTCGCCGATGATATATGTCTGATTTCCCACAAATTGGAAGATATGCAAGTGAAAAGCAACAAGTTGGCAGAAGAGGCATCAAAAATAGGATTTCAGGTGAACATTGAGAAAACGGAGGTGATGAAGATCCCTGGCCAACACCAACAGCCACAGCAACAACAACAGACAGCAATCAGCATAAATGGAAGGAACCTGAAAGAAACTACCTGCTTTACCTACTTAGGAAGCATTGTTTCAACTACAGGCGGAACTGACGAGGATATCAAAGCAAGGATCGGGAAAGCAAGACAAGCTTTCACTACCTCGTCTGTGTGGAGATCAGCAGCACTCAGCATCAAAAGTAAGATCCGGATTTTCAACTTCAATGTGAAGTTGGCGCGTCACAAAGAGCATCTCAAACAAACTACAGACCTCCATGAACAGCTGTCTTCACTTAATACTACTCAAGAACAGATGGTCGGCCAGAAAAGATCAGCAACAGGGATCTCTGGGAGCGAACCAACCCAATAGGAACCGATTATGCAACAAATATGCAGGACGAAATGGAGGTGGATTGGCCATACTATGAAGAAACCAACAAGTGACTTCGCTAGACAAGCCCACGAGTGGAACCCGAATGGGAAGCAGTGAGTTGGCCGTCCAAGAGTGACTTGGAGGAGGTCATGTGAGGAGGAGATGAAAACGTGTGGGCAGGTGTGGAGCCAGGTGAAAGATTTAGCAGAGAACCGAACGCAATGGGGAAGTGCGGCTGAAGCCCTATGTTCCTGTAGGAATTAAAGGAAACAATAATAATAATAATGTGTGCAAACGACGCACGTTCATCCTCTTTGTTTACTCTGGCCTACTGTAAGGTCATCAGGGATATAACCATGTGCGTCGGTGGCACAGTGGTTACGACTCTCGCCGACCATGCATATGGTTTGAGGTTCGATCCCCTGCCGACACACTCCCGATATCAATGGTCGGCCTGCAAAATTTGGGCTACCGATATCGCATGCTGAAAATTCCATACTTGTAGTGAAAATACGGTGTGGCATCAAGCTGTAATCAAAATGATAAAAAAATTATTTTCATATCATATTAGACCTTTCTTATCCCTTTTCACCTAGTAGTTTACTTCGCTCCATTATCATTATCCGTATTGTGTGTGTGTGTCAACCTTTGATAATTTACACTAACCTTATTATTTCTGGAGTATTTGATTACAGCTCACAATTTAACCTCTTGATTTTATCAGTACACTTGATACCATCTGTCAGTCCTTGCTTGAATTCATATTGAGTGTTCCCCATTCTTTGGTATTTGTTTGTATGTATTTTGTGGTAATCATTTTCCTCGCACACGATTGAATGTAACTCACTACCCCACACCCTAATGAAACTTATATTCCGTTGACTATAGATACTTTCAGAACAAAATAGTTAGAGCGAAGAATTGTGGTTTCAATAAATCCGTCTTCTTCAGGCTGCTCTACAATTATAAATCCATTCATATAAGCATACCATAGCCAGCCAGTCAGTAAAGGCAAATTAGAATTATATCAGAAAGTGTATTGTGGAACAAGTATAAGTAAGGTGGATGGGATGGAACAATAGTCAGTTAGTTTCCATTATGAATAAAATTTTATTTTGATAAAATCACACAGTGTGTTTGTTATACAGTAAGATTTACTGATGACCACGTTTCGAGCACAATTTATCACTGCTCATAATATCATATCACTAATACTGGTTCCGTATGTACTTTATCTTCTTTTCTGTTTCACTCAAGTCTTATATTGATTTTATTCAAATGTCTAATCATCAATTTTTATTCATGTATATATAAACGAAGCTAGAAAGTTATGTGAGTAATGCCTTGATATGATTATGAGAAGTAATCACTTGTGCTCGAAATGTGGTCATCAGTAAATATTACTGTATAACACTGTGTCACTTTATCAAAATAAAGTTTTATCCATAGTGGAAATATACTCTACCACAGTGCCCAAGTTTTATCCTTATATCTCTGGTCAGTTATGCGCATTTATTAATTCAACTGCACCTGCGGTGATAGTTATGTTGGGCGTACTATTAGACATCTTAGCCAACATGTTACTACTGCACATCTCCCATCGTGGTTTGGCAAAGGACAGACAAAAACAATCCGTAGCTCGATTTTGTCACATTTAGTTGGCAGTCGTCATGTAGTTGAGAAAACGAGAGCCTTCAAAATAATTTATCGCATCTCACCGAATCTTTCCAATAGACTTCGTATTCGTCTACTACACACAGCTGAGGCAATATGCATTCGAACTATTAAACCTAAATTATGTATTCAAAAAAAGTTCGTACAGCCAGTATCCCTCCCTTGCTGGCCTATCAAGACATCACCAACTCATGACTTCTACACCACCCCTTACTTATATTTTCAATCCCTCTCTTATCATCCCTTAGTCTTATCACATCTTTATTAAAAAGGCGTTTATTTACTTCCCTTACAATCTAGCATTACTTTACCGGTTCATTTGTTTTTACTAGCCTGTATCGACTACTACGTCTACCTGAACAGTTGTTTGTTTAATCATACTGTTTTTCATTATTCGTGTTATCACAGATTGCCTCACTTTGTCATCCTTATTATTGATAGAACCATTACTATTGTTATCATTACTATTAATATTAATATTATATGCACAATCTTATTATCCTATATACAAAACACCACGATTGTTTTATATTTGAATTTTTATTTGTCAGGTTATGTGGGTATATTAGAGTTAAGTCTGATGAGATCTAATTGAAAACAATATTGTTCACTTAAATGTGTTCTAAATTTTGCTATGGGAATATTTAATATATAGTCAGTTAGTTCTTAAAATGCATGGTCAATGAAAACATGAGATAAAATGAGATGAAATAATTTAATGATATATATATATATATCATCAACAAAATACAGGTTTCGAGGGTGAGTGTAATCAGTGGTGTGTGAGACAATATGAATACTATAGAAAACAAACCAACGAATGAGGTTGAAAATAACGACAGTAATAATGATTGTGAAATAATAACGATGATGTGGTGTAAACTTAAAAGTACTATTGGTGAATGATTAACAAGTAATAATAATAATAATTGAAAACCAGGAAGTACTGGACAACTGTTTCATCCTAGTTTGTGAATTATTGGCAGTAGGCATCCACTCCACAGGGTGTTCGAACCCAGGACTTTCCGGTTACAAGGCATGCTCGTATACCATACAGCCAATGAGACCCGCTTCAATGGCGATGACATCGGTTGGCGGTCGCGAATTGGTAGAAGTTAGAATTCATGGACTGAACATTGAATCGGGCCTCAGTTGCTGAATGTTATACGAGCTTGCTAGCCTTGTAACCGGAATGTCCTGGGTTCGAATCCCATTGGATGCGTACTGCCGTAGATTCTCAAACTAGGATGAAACAGCTGGTTTTCCAGTACTCCAGTGTTGGTTTTCAATGGTTCTCTAACCGATATCAATCCTTGATCAACTCGTAAAAACAAAAATAATCCTTACAAACCAACTATACAAAATAATAATAATATTAATAATAATGAATTTAGTGAAGTGAAATGAACAGGATTTTATAAATATGATATGAAGTTAGAAAAGCATTACTTAAACCCTAAGGTAATAGAAATCATTAGAAAGGTCATGGAATCGTAAAAGATCAGAAATGAACGTTTTTCATAGAAACTTTATTATGTTACACTTATTTGTCTATCCACATTTTACCTTCTGTTTTGAATGACTGTGCATTTTATATACATTCATTTGACAATGTTAACTAACGAACTATCACCACACATTATACATGTATCCCAATACAGACGACAGTTTCTGATAGGAAATTTTCACTTGCCTTTACTGAACTGTGGAGTCTGAAGAAGAAGTTATTGAAACCATAATTGTTCGTTTACAAAATCATCTCTTCTTTTTACGCAATATCGAGAGATTTTGAATTTACTGAGTAGCATTAAACTGTATCACAGTGTAATTTTTAAAAATCGTACACCAACATCAAGATTGAATTAATTCACTTAGAGAAATTCGATAAAACCGAATTTAAACTTCAATTGGTGGATGGTGACTAGTGGTGGAATCTACGATGCGCATCTCGTCCTATTTGGGACTCGTCATCTGGATGTACCTCCATTCCCCACTGAGAGATGATGTCTATTGCATTTATTTATCTTCAATTTTTTCTCTTTATATATACAGGTGAAACTAATCTGTCCATTGGTTGGATCACAAACAGTTAAATCATGGTTATGGCGTGAACCTGTGTTGCCTAGTTCAACGGAATACGCTCAATTGCCACAAGGTCGACCACCGAGTCGTACAGTTACAGCTACACGACCTGGTCTTCATGAGGGTAAACATGTTGAAATTGGTCCTGATTTATCCTGGGCACGTATTGTTGATCCTTTATCACCTGAAGCACCAGTGAAATTATGGTGTCAATTTGTAATGCCATCACCATGGGCTGGGAAAGTGAGTTTATTTATTTTTTTGATTTATTAAAAACTGGTTCTTATTGTCCTGCCTGCTTGAAATATTTTCTGTGTACTTCCCTTGGTTGATGGTAGATAGTGTCTGCATTTAAGATCTGCAGTTCCTTCCAATTACCATTCACCAGAAACAGAGGTCGACAACTCTACATTAGACAACCAGCAAATTATTCATTATTATAACAGTTTTTGTATTTCCCAATGAATGAAAAACAAGACAATAGCGTTGTTGTTTTCACTGACGTTTCGCCATTTAATGCTACTCCTAATAGCCTTATTAAAGTAGTAATATTAAAGCAGAATTTACACAATCTCAGCTTATATGTACGGAAACTTAGCCAGCAGCATTTGTGGCGATTTTTTCATTTCATGGGGGAGCGTGGTGTGTGCTGTAACCAGGTCAAATTCTGTTTTAGTCCATCATTTGTATTCAGACAATTAGGATTCCATTTGATGATATAAAGTGCTTCTGATATTAGACGTTCTTTAAGGTTTCTGAAGTTTTTCCGAATTATTTCAATATTATCGAAATAAACTTTGCGACCTGATTCTATAGTGTGTAGACGACCTATGGCTGATGATTTTTCAAGCTTTTCTACTTCACAGCTGGATTTCTCAGTGGTCGAACAGAGGCGGCTCTACGGTGTTCATTTCTTCTGATTTTGATTTCTCTCTGGCGATGTTTGTCCGATGTATATCGCATCAAATTCCAATCATCAATGAACCAATACTTGAATTCCAGTCATTTTATTTTGTAGACACAATTAGAGTGAGAATCCTCAGGGATTTGATGTATTGCATGGAAAGGGTTGCTTTGTAGTATGCGTGTCTGATGTTTTCAAGAAAACTCTGATATTGCATTTATTGAATACTCTTCTGATATCATCTGACGTCTCTGATCAATATGAAATGACAACTGTTGTGGTCCACGTCTTCAGAATGCGTTTTAAACCGTATTTAATGTCGATGTTGATTTTTCAATTATAGATAAGATTTTATTTTGACAAATCACACAGTGTTATACAGTAATATTAACTGATGACGTTTCGATCACAAACTATTGCAATAAAAATGTGGTGTAACATTTCTAACATATCAACAGACCTGATTAAAGTTTAATGTGGGACTTTAGAAGTTCACAGTTAGAATCATGTAGGCTTCTTTGCTGAATTATTCAGTTATAGAATCTGAATGAGAAACGATTTACAACGAATTTGTGCATCATCTAGGAAACTACAAACTGAAAAGAAATGCTCACTTGAGTCAGGGATTTTAATCCAGGGGTTTATAAATTCGTGTTTAATTATTTATAAGGGAAATTCTGTTTCCGGAAAGTTTCTCTTTCCGAATCTGCAATACAGTGGAGACTCATCGGTAAAAGTTATAAGAAAACACCAGTCCTGTTCATCATTGAGGAAAACAGTCTTTGAAGTTGAAATTTGACTCACTTTCTATACAAAACCAGTGGTTTGTATGAACGTGAAGGATACTACTGTTGGCCTCATCAGTGTGTATTTGAGAATTCACTCGCTGTTGTGGAGCTAGTTGTGTCGGCCGTACTCAGTATTTACTATCCAAAAGTATCATCGAACATTTATCTTCCTGGTAGTATGGACGGGAATAAAGATCCTTTAGCATCCTTATTCTGGAATGTTCGATCGATTCTCGGCACCCAACGAACTCGCAAAATGGCTTCACAGTTTTCCACAGGGAATACGGAAATCTTGTCAAAAGAAAACGAATCAAACTTCTTCAAACCGTGAGAACCCTGGTAGTCCACTTGTTAGATCCTGAAGTTCACATAAAGAAAACGTTTATTCACTTGCTGAACCTGTAATGAACTCAATTTGATTTAGCACTTGATGCGTAATTATTGTTAATCTTCTCCCCCACCCCCCACTGTTATAATTTTACTCCTTATGACACTGAACTCAGCCTTACTCTTTTTCAATTTTAGCTGAGTTCTACTCAATTATTTAATTCTTTTTCAGTTTACACCTGATTAATGCTTTCTGTATTACGTAATTTTTATGTGAAACTTACAGTTTTTATGACACATCTTTGAAAAAATGCAAATTATATTGTCAAGTTCGATAGGGTAAAATGTCAGTTACATTCTTGTCTTTTGAATGCCTGATGGTTTTTACGCTTTGAACTCTCTTGAAGTAGTAACCTTCATTTTCAACACATTCAAAAAATCTTGTAATACAAAGGTAGTTAGCCTGGCCGCTTTTTTATTTTGTCCAGATTAGCAATTAGTTATGTTCTCTGAGCTGGTTGGTTTAATTGCTGAGCTTTCGTCGTCCTTCTGGACAACATCCCCTTTCAGCGCAATTTTTAGCATAAAGCGAACTGATTTAAATTTTCCATGAGTGATAGAACTGAGTCTCCCGGTAACCATCTTTATAGCTGTATTGATCAATTTTTATTGACTTGGATTTTGAACATTCTCACCACGTTATTTACTTTTTATCAGCTCGTAAATTCGGTCACGAAGATGGTTGCCAGGAGACACAATTCTATCATTCATGGAGAATTTAAATCAGTTCATTTTATGCTAAAACTTGCACTGAAGATGTTGTCTATACAGGGGACGACGAAAGCTCCGCAATTAAATCTTCAACCAGCTCAGAGAACACACGTAATTGCAAATCATCCACCTGAGCTACAAACATTCTCTATTGTTTGTCGAGATTAGGTAGGATAGAAAAGACTGTCCAGTACTCTCCAATTTTAAGTGATTCTGTTACTGGTATGGGTTTGTGATGAAATTCTCCTTGAAACCAGTTTGGTCTGTAAAATTGAGACATGAATGACAACTTGCAGGTCGAATTTTCAGACTATTTCTGCATGAATGTCTTCCTGAATTTTTAGAATGAGAATAAAAACGGACCTACTAGGAACCAGTCGTGCCACAAATATTCAGGAAAACTGGCTATACTCTGAGAAAACCATCAAATGATACCTTACACTGGGCTGTCTAGTGGAATCCGAATGGAAAGCGGCGAGTTGGTAGTCATTATGAGGATGACATAGAGGAAGTCATGGGAATAGGAGATTAAAGCATGTGGGTAGACGTGGAGCCAGGCGAAAACGTTGGCGGAGAACCGAACTCATTGGAGACGTGCTACTGAAGCTCTTTATTTCTCTAGGAACTAAAGAAGACAAAAATAACCGTTTCATGGTGGGAATTCATTGGATTTTCTCATCACTCCCAATCAGGAATTGATTGGACGTGACAGATATTGATCTTTGACATCTTTGATTTCTGAGTGGGTTTTTCAAGTCTTTGTTGATATTTACTATAACTGATGATCTGCGTTTCGACAATCAATAAGAAAGCTGGTGAAATGTATGTACTTGGAATCTTCAGTGAACGTAATATGTAATGGAATAATAACAGCCTAATTCTAAACAATATGTCGACACGTAGTACAGAATTTTTAGCTTATTGGACTACAGAATATTGACTTCATCCGTAAGCATCTATGACCCTAAGGGGAATTGGATCTGGGATCTACAGTTTACGAGATCAGCCCGTTGACTGAAGTCATTTCGTTATCTCGCACTATTATTTAATTATTTTTCCCTTGGGTTCCAAGTGGAACATCGTCATTTTCTCCTATTCTCTGCAGTCATCTTTAGATGACACCACGATTGCCCATAACTTCTCATCTCCTCTTCACATTATCTCTTCCATGTCACCCTTGAGTTGATGCCCAAATTGTCGTTTCCTATTCGGGTTCCAAACGAGCAGTGATCCGGTGCGTGATGTCACCCTACGGTCTCTTGAGCATGTGTCCTACCCATCTCCATTTCCTTTGGGATATTTACTGAGCAGTAGCTTCTTGGTTGATTCGTTCCCAGATTTTCCTTTTGTTAATTCTTTCTTGTCATCTGATCTTCAGTGTAGAGCAAACGGGGAAGCTGTTAATAAAAGGTTACGGTAGGCTGTCAGAAATGTTTTTCATGACGCCCCAAGTTTCTAACTCATATAGAAGCAGTGACTGGATTAGCGGTGGTGCTGGAAGTTCGAAATTTGTTGCTTATTCTGAGCTCAGCAGATCTCCTAACTGATTTTAGAGTAATGAAACTTTGCGTTGCCTTTCCGATCTGACATCCTCATCCGTTCTGCATTCTGGAGTTGGAAAGATGCTTTGCAGATTAGTGAGGGGATTAACCTCTTTCAACTTTCTTCTGTTGATGACAGTGATTGGTGCTTGTTGTTGTGATAGTTTGGTTAGTTATCTTTGTCACCTATGTCTTCCCTATGTTCGCTTGAAGTCCTGTCTTTGCTGCCTGCTTCTTCTGACAACTTGTTGGTTTTTGCCTGTAAATCTTCCAGTTTAAATGACGTTAGAAGTAAATCATCCTCGAAATCCAGACCTTCTAGAGTCTTATTATCGGTTCAGCGAATTCCTTTCGCCTCCCTCCCATTTTTTCCCTTTACGTTCCCAAAGGAACATAGGGCTTCAAGCTAGAGGCTTGTAGTTTCGGTAGCAGTGATGTTTAATTTTACAGGATGAAGTTTCTAGTCTGATGCCCAACCTCCCCTCTTTGCCACTTCTATTGCGTCGGTGGCCGGGGATCAAACCCCGGACCATATGCGTGTTTGGCGAGCATTCTACCACTGTGCCACCGTCGCTCACCCCACTCCATAGTGTTTCAAATTACTCCGCGGTGAATGCGGTAGAAGGCCTTTTCAAAGTCGGTGAAATTTAGCTAAAGGTTTGACTGTCATTCTATGCTTTGTTCGACGATGATGTGAAGCGCTGCAATTCGCTCCTCACCTTGACATGTTTTTCCTGAATCCAGCTTATTCTTGCCGAAGTCCTGCATCCAGTGCTTCTTTTAGCCTCTCCAGGTTGACGCGACGTAATATTTTGCTTATCGTGGACAGGAGCATGACTCCGCCCAGTTTTTTCAGAGGCCCTCATTGATAGCTTGACAAAGCAGCCTTTTTTCAAATCAGTAGGTACCTTTCTTTCCTTGTAAACCTTTGGCAATAGTAGCACCAAGATATTCGCTGAGGTCTCTGGGTCCGTTCTCCAGGAGGAATTCCGTCGGGTCCTGCCGCCTTACCAACTTTCAACAGTTTGATTTCATTCAAGAGTTCTACTGTTTCTAGAGGATTATTGTCCACTGCCTTACATGAAACTAACTAAATCCCCAGGAGGCAACACTCGGGAAATAATTTTCAGTTAAAACAAGTGTTTTTCAAAACTAACTAAGACATGAAGTGAAATAATAAAACGGACCAATCTCAGCTTCCATTGTATCCCTATACCTTCTAATTCCTTGATTTCCTCCCCCATTTAGGATCCTATAGTCGCCTATTATGAAATCGACTGGGAACTGTATGAACCAATCTCTCCACAGATTTATATTCTCCCTGAAGAAAAAGACACTTCTACTACTACTACTTCCACGAACTTAGAAGATGGCAGTAATCAAAATTTCCCAAAACATCCTGTAAGTCAAGATCATACCTATGCATCCATTGCGCATACAATCAATGCACAAATTGAAGAAACAATTCAAAAAATGAAATCAAATAACAATCATAGAAATAACAATTACAACAACAATAATAATAATAAGCCAATTCTATTGGAGAATAAACCAGCACGTATTGCTTGCCGATTTCGACCAATCACAACAACTGGGAAACCCGCGACACCACAATCACATCCTATCCCAATACAACAAGTTTACTGGTATCATAATAGAAATCAACCAGTTCATGTACCGCCGTTTTATGTCGATAATTCGCTAGTGAATCCTTATGGATTGTCTATCCTGTCAGTTCGTGCTTATCCAATCACGTTTAATATGAATTATACAAATGAAGATAAGTCAACCGCGTCATCAGCAGCAGTGGCATCTTCATATAGATCCTCTGATAAATATAAATTGCCTGTTGAACATCTTACTTGTTCTGTAATTAGTAGAGTGAAAGAAACACCAGAATATAAAGTGATATCAAATGCAAGGTTAGTTTTGATTAATAATCAAAATATAATATAATATATCTTAATATTATATATTATTATTGTTATTGTTCTCTTGGGTTCCTAGTGGAACATAGGGCTGGCTTCAACAACACATCTCCACTTTTCCTATTTTCTACTGCCCCCTAAGCTGGGTTCACGATTGTCCACCATCTCTCATCTCCTTCATGTCATCCTCGAAGTGACCACCTACTCGTCGCTTCCCATTTAGATTCATTCCACTCGGACGATGGCATGCAGTGCGCGCGATATAATTCGACAGTTTCCTCAGTGGCGTATGCCCGGTCCACCTCAGTTTTCTCTTACATATTTGTTGAGCTATCGACGCTTGGTTGTTCCTTTGTCAGAGTTTCTTGTTGCTAATTTTTTCTGGCCAGCCGGTCATTTGATCTTCAGTATGGAGCGAAGGCAGCTGTTGCTGAAGGTCTGAAACCTGTTGGAAATCCTTTTCGTGACGCACACGCAGTGCAAGTTTCTGACCCGTATAGAAGGACTGACTTGGCATTTGTGTTGAAGAATCCGAATCTTGTTCCTTATGCTGGCTGAGTGAGTGCAAAAGATTTCCAAACTGGTTTCAGGTTGATGAACGCGTACCTTGCCTTTCCGATCCTGGCTGGTGTTGACATATTCATCCTTTCTGACTGCCTGTGCTTGAAACCGTGCCTCCTGGTTGGATAAGTGAAGGAAGTAACCTCTGTTAAATCTCTCCCGTTGATGGTGATTGATTGGTGCTGGTTGTTGTTACTGTTCGTTGGCTGGTGATCTTCATTACCTCCATCTATTCTATGTTCACCTGGAGTCCTTTCTTCGCTGCCTTCTTCCTGAGCCATTTTGTTGGTTTTCGCTGCCTGCAAATCTTCGAGTTTGTGTGATATTGGATATATATCATCTGCGAAATCCAGATCTTCTAGGGTCTTCTTATTGGTGGTCCAGCGTATTTGTGTCTCCTGGCTTCCCACAGTCTGACGCATAATCCAGTCGACCACAATTAGGAATATCATCGGTGATAATAGACAGGCCTGTCTTACTCCTGTCTTCATTTCGAACGCTTCGCTGAGTTTTCCATAACTATAACATAAATAAAAAAAAATTTAAGGTACTTAGAGTTTTACCTTATAAGGTTTAGATTCAGAAATAAAAGATAGTAGGCTTTGGTCACCCGCATTAATCCCTGCAATATATTTATCTCTGCAGAGATCTAATTTCATGGATATAGCTGATACTAATTGATCGAGTGAGGAGTTCTAGTTCTTCAACACACTGTGTGAGAATCTAAATTTCACATGTATTTTATGTGTCGCCGGTTTGAGCATATTTTTTTGGTGACCTCATAAAGGTATTCCAGGGAGGTGGAGAGACTGTTAGAAAGGTCAGTTGCTGTTAAATCGTCCTTTAATATATGATATGCCAAAATTAAATCACCTCTACTATTTCAGTATGATAATAGAGAGAGATTTGATTATCCCATCCTCTTCTCATAAGGAAGGTTTGAGATACCACTGGATAATTTGGTTCCTACCCTCTGTACTCTTTCCAAGACATGTTCTTCCTTCTTCAGGCATGGACTAGATGCTTGTATACAGTGTTCTAGGTGGGGTCTGACATATTCTGCCTTGAGTAGTTTGACCATAGACTCATCTAATCGTCTGAAAGTCATTCGAAATGCCCATAGCTGCATTAAAATATGCAGTAGTTCTTTTGTCCCTTAACATTCGGCGGTTCTGTGTCTCCCAAGGAGCACGGCGTGCATTACCTCTAATCTAAGTGCATCACGGCCCTCTTTCTGGGATTAATTTCCAAACTCCAGAGGTTAAACCATTCAGTTAATTAATCTAAATCACTTTGTAAGACTGAATTATCATTATTATTATTTACAATTTTCCAGACCTTGAAATTATCCTCAAACCACTCACATAGACATTGGTCTAACAGTCTAGAGTGCAGTCTGTCAGGTACTATGGCGATGCTTGCCTGTAAAGGGAATGCCGAGAAAATACATTGCAATGATCAAGGCACTCTACTCGAACTCATGCAGTCAGCTAGGTGACAGCTTACAGCGAGTTGTTATATGAAGTGGTGACAACTAGTGGTGTCCAACAGGGATGCCCACTATCCCCATTTCTATCTACTTTCATCATAGATGTACTAATGGAACTAACCCTAACTGATGTGACTTCAGCGACTCAAGGATTGACTTGTTACCAGGGTATAATCTCGTTGACTTAGAATATGCATGTGGATGATATAGTCCTTCTAGGTGAAGATGCTGACAAAATGCAGAGTCTTCTGAACACCTTGAGCTGCCATCTGCGAATGTTTGGCAGGCGATTCGCTCCCTCTGTTAAATGTAAGATGATGCTACAGGACCAGACTGGACTACATTGACTCCTAGCTTAGGAATAAGGAGTGAAGTTGTGGCTGAGCGTGTTGACCGCTTCACCTACTTGAGAAGTTGCATCAGCCAACACCAGCGGGTTGGTCGCTGACGAAATCTCCGCACGGATGCAGAAGGCTCGTCTCGCATATGTCAGTTTACGCCGTCTCTGGGGTAGACATGATATCTGGCTGTCGACTGAAGGCCGTATGTCCTGTTCAGCAGTCCTCTTCGTCCTCCTTTACGGCTGTTAGACCTGGCCACTGAAAGTGGAAGACATGAAAATATTAGCTATCTGTCTTTGATCATAGGTGCCTGTGTTCTATCTCCCGTGTTAGGCAGTATAATAAGGTAAGAAGTCTTGAGGTTAGGCGTCGAGTGCTAGGTAAAGAGGGGAAGTAAAACGATGAGGTTGTGAAGCCAAACCGATTGAAATTGTTAGGATATTTGTTACGCATACCACCGAGCCATCGCCTTCCTGTACCTATGGAAAATGTCGGTTGACTGACATTGGATCAGGTAAGAAAAGGGCCAGTGGTGGTCAAACCAAAACGTGGATTCATCAGTCAATGAAATCCACAACAGTTCGTTTAGGCCACGTAGGAAGGTGTAAACTCCATGGTTGGAGTCCTCGGGACGGTAAAAACCAATGAGTGTTGAAGATGATTGGTGATATGGCTCAAACTAGTCGTTCTCAATGGCTGGCGTAGATTCATCCACTCCTCGTGACTTATAATTTCCAATGAAACTATATGGTTCCTCGATACAGCTATTCCTTTTTTCTCAAATCTCTGTTTACTGTCACTATTTTGCATTTCTTCTAATTTCTTCTCTTGATTTGTGTATTACATGGAGTGTGGCGGCTCAAACTGCCGCACATCGGTGCAAAGTTCTATGTTGAAACCAGTCTGCCAGTCAGTAATTTGGAAGAAGTTTTGTTAGTTGAACTGATAACAAAAACACTAGTAGGCTAGCAAGATACAGAGGGAAAGGATTACGTAATACTCTCTTCGAGTAAGCCTTTGGAAGTGATTAGAATTCCGTTATGTGAGTTAAGATAAGTGCGTCACAAAAACCATAATGAGACTAGTAGTGGAAATGGTAAAAGAGATCAAGAAAGAGAACACTTAGTTATGTAATACACGAGAAAAGTTGTCACCTGGGTAAATTAAGATTCATCACTGTTTCTTTCTGTGTACACAAGCTTAGAGGTTGAGTTGTATGATGGCAATAGATTTAGTAAATCTAAGTAAAATTGGATTTCTTTGTTTATTGATAAGGGTAAATGTAGTTTGAATATCCTTACTTAGTCCCCGATTCGACTCGATGTCAGCTAATGGCGCTGTTAAGGGAATTAAGATCTTTGAGTCAGAGGCGTTTTGGAATGATTTAGCAGAAGCAAGTGGTTACTTCGATTGGACACTAGCTAGTAACTAGTGCAATGTGTCTAGTCCTGTGTTTGGTGCAGAGTGAATTGCATCACAGGCAAGTCTGCAATGTGGTCACCCTGCTAGGCAGCCTCAGGATGGTCGGAGGTGGGTGCATTGCGCTGCGGGTTGGCCACCCCTCCGCACACCTCTTGAAATGCTCCCATATGACCGGGCGTCTTACATAGCCTCTCTTGAGGAAGTCCTACTCACTGCCTTCACGTGGCGGAGGTGTTTTTCACCAAAGTGAGAGGGCGAAAGCGGATGCCCGGCGCTCTTCACCGGGTTGACTGTCCAGTGGATGACAGTCTAGGGGAGATGGTTAAACCCTGATTCCAAACCTCCAACGACTGGCGTATGAAGCTCACTGGAGCTCACCGGCAGAGACGTATGGACAAAGGGCTTTTTGGATGTCCTGGATGTCTGGCCTCATTCAAAAAGGGGTATGAACCGAACTCCGGTCACCGGCTGCCAATGGATAGTGGACTCCCTACTCCACTCCTGATGCCTTGTAGGTCACACTTGGTTGTGTAAAGGCTAGAGCTGCACTCTGAAACAAAAGGGGAGCGATTCTGGGGACATCACTCGTACCAAATTCCCATGAAACTTCATGAACTCTCTTACAATCTCCAAAGCCTGGAATGCGTTTCTATAGGTGAGGAGCGTTCTGTGGAGCAAGAGGGAAATCAGTCTCAGGACTAAAATTCGGATCTACCAAGCCTCCATACGATCCGTTCTCCTGTATGGCTGTGAAACCTGGCCTCTTCGTGCGGAAGATGTACGCAGACTCGAGGTAATAGACCACTGGTGCCTCAGGTACATTCTGCATGTTCGTTGGCAGGACAAACTCTCCAACGAAGAAGTGCATCGTCGTTGCTACAACATCAACCAAATTCCAGTACTGGTCCAACAACGTCGCCTTCGGTGGTTTACCCATCTGCGCCGACCAGATGACGATCTGGTCAAATCAGTTCTAAATCCCTCGCCATTACTATCTTCGCAATTTCGCAGGGGTGGACAGCTGGAAACATGGCTTGGTACAGTCAAGGCTGATATGGAGTGCCTGGGGCTACAAACCGTCTACGGACTCCATCTGTGGAACAAGAATTGGATAACCCTGTCGCAAAACCTTGCATCAGATCGCCGCGCCTGAGCAGCAATGATTCGAGATGTACATGAAGCCGGCTCATCCTCCCGTAGGAGATAGCCGAAGTAAAGTAAAGTAAGTAAGCTAGGCAGCTCGCTGTCGTAGCGCTCTGCAACCTTGAAGGAACTCATGTCCTTCCCTCTGAGATTCGAACCCGAGTCACCACCCAGTGGTGGGCTTGCGATTGACCTCCTCTGTAGGGCTGTATTGAATACTTTTGATTGAACACTAATTAGTAACTAGTGTCCAATCAAATACTCCTCTCGATTAGACTTCTCCAACTGCTCAGATTTTCATCATCCCACTACATTTGTTCCATTAATTCTGTCTTCTATGCATTCTATTCATTTCTGACTTAATACATCTATCAAACGTGTTATCTATAATTTTTTTTATTGAGTTCACGAAATCTACTTTAATTAACCCTATGTACTAGAATAAAAATTTCATCAGATTAATTCACTCGTTCTCTCTCTCATGCACACACTCTCTCTGCCTTCCTCTCTAGACTTCTTTCACTAATCTTTCATTTATTCCACCGTAAATTCTCAAAAATGTTCTTTTATCTCTCTTCTAATCTCTTTAGGAACATTTTTGTTCCCTAAGGATAAAAAATAAAGTAAAATAAGCAATGACCTTAATGTGAATTCATTGATAACAGTTCATTTATTTTGATTGAAATACTACTTCGAGATCCCATATATCGATCATTTCCTATTTTTTGTAAGCTATTATTGATTAACTTTCCTTATTTCTAGAAATATTCTGTATTAGTTTGTTTATTAGATATATCACACAATGAGTGAAGCAGTATTATTTAGTGGATGACACAGTTTCGAACACAATTTATTGCTATTCATAATCATACCAATTGTAATCACACAACTTCAAAACTTGAGTTTTATAGTTTTCTTTGTTCTCTCCTATTTGTCGTCGTTGAGGTATTAGAATTTTCCAGATGTTCGGATGGACAGGTGTTGAATCATTCCTCTTACGCGTATTCTCTTCAGTTAATTCGATAAACAAAGCTTCTGTTATCAATCTCTCCCTCCAAGGGTTGTTACATTAGATTTTAAAACTGTCATCTTATCCCATCCCATCCTATTGTATGGTTTTGTGTAATTGCATGTAGTGAGCGCTATAGCTGAACTATTCTCCAGATTTTTAATACTATTAGGGTCAACTAATCTAGATTTTGCTGCTAGGTTTTCATGCTCAGGTAGTCTGACTGACTGACCCTATTCTACTACTTTGACCTATGTATTTGACCTGACAATCATCGCAGGTAGGGTATTATTCTGCGTAAGGTTTCCGAGGTTCCTTTGTTCTTATGGAATTACTACTGATGATATAGATTCCTTATTAATGAATTGGAGAGGCGTAATGACACAGCGGGCTGGTGAAAACCTTCGGAAAGCCAGTCTGCCAGTCAATGTGTCTTCTCTCGATGAAATCAAGAATAAGAATGGGGACCTGGAATGTTTGTACAATGTATGAGGCTGAGAAGGCTGCCCAGGTAGCCAACGAAATGCAAACATAAGGCCTAGAAGTGCTGGCTATCTGCGAGAGCAGATGGAATGGATGTGGATTGACAACATTGTCAACGGGAGAGTCAATAATCTAATCCGGTCGCCCAGATGGCAACCATGAGCACAATGGGGCAGTGAGTGGCTATAGTGTTAACGGAGTGAGAACCAATTTCATCCAGGATCATAACAGCAAGATTCAACTCAGCAGGAAGGAAGGAAGGTCGCAATTATCCAATGCTACACACAGTGCTACAAACAACGAGGAACAAGAGAAGAGGGAAGATTTTTACAGACAACTACAAACAGTAATGGACAACATCCCGAATGTTGACATCAAAATCCCTATGGGCGATAAATTTCGGACCAGAAACTCTGGCAACAAATCAACCAAGAGTTGATCATTCAATAATTATGTAGAAGAAAATGGAGATGTATTGGTCGAGTATACGTTGAGGAGGCAGTCGAATGAAATCGCGAGCAATACAGTTCATCGCTCGAGTGGGACCCCAACAGGAAGCGACGTGTATGGTTCGTCGGTGCGAGGGTGACATGGAGGAGATGAGAGATTATGGGCAGTCGTGGACCCAGATGAAGAGGACAGCGCCGAATAGAACAAAGTGCAGATGTGTTGTTGAAACGAGCCCTATGTTCCACTTGGAACCCAAGGAAATAATAATAATAGGTATGATCAATGTCCACTAATCTTTTCTAGGTCACTTCTTTTGTTTATATACTTTCAGTTTGTTTAAATTTTTCTAACTTATTCATTTTTGTTTTATTTAACTAATTATAGTTTAGAAGCCGAGATTATCTTAGTTCCACGTATAATCAATACAGAACTGTTATCCGCTGAAAGAAGTCTAGAGGATGCCATTAAACTCACATGTACAGCAATAGCTAATGGACCACCAAACATGCTAATTGATTTCAGTGCATCAGATCAGCCATCGACAAATGGTAATAATAATAATAATCACAATGGTGGTCCTGGTGGTGGTGGTGGCGGTGGTCTTACAAAATGGGAACCTTTGAAACCAAGATATGGACTGAATATTCGACCAAGACAAGTAGATCCAAATAATCCAACGATACATCGTCTTGTGATCGATATTTCTGGTAAGTTTGTAATTTTATACATATCTATGCACAGTGCCATCACAAAATGAAAACTAGAGCGTACTACACAACTGTTTCGTCCTTGACTGTGACCCTTCATCAGCAGGCACTCATAGCATGACCAAGAATAGTGATGTATCATGACCGGACAGTATTTGTCCTCATACCAAGCTCCGTGGAATCCCCTTGGTGGCGTTTGGAATCGACAGACCATTGGATTCTCTCTCATCGGCTAAAAGGTCAACGAGCTTGCCTTATAACGCAAAAGTTCTGGGTTCGATTCTTAGTGAGATCTTGAGTACGTAACACGGAAAAGTCCCAGACGATTGCGAAACAGTTGTCGCGTACCTCCTGTTTATTTTCAGTGGTACTCTAGCTTATGTTTGGGTTCGTGCGTCGGTGGTATAGTGGTTAGGACTCTGGCTGACCTTGCACATGGTCTGGAGTTCGATCACCTTCCGGCGCACACCTGATATCAATGGTCAGCCCGCGAATTTTGGCTACCGATATCCATGCTGAAAATTCTATACCTGTACCAAATATACTGTATAGAAACAATCTGTAATCACAAATTAAAAAAATTAAAGATATTCAAGAGTTGGTTTGTAAGGATTAGATTTACTTCTACGAGTTTGACCACGGATTGATATCAGTTTGAGAACCATTAAAAACCAGGACACGAGTACTGGACAGTCAGCTATTTCATCGTAGTTTGAGAATAATTGACAGTACGCATCCACTGCCGGGGTTCGAACCCAGGACGTTCTGGTTACAGGGTAAGCTCGTATACCTTTCAGCCACTGGGACCCGACTCAACGGCCCATGAATTCTAACTTCTACTATTTCGAACCCCAATGGTTGTGTACTGCCTATGATTCCAAAACTAGGATGAAACAGCTGACTCTCCAGTACTCCAGTGCTGGTTCTCAGTGCTTCTCTAACTAATATCAATCCGTGGTCAAATTCGTGAAAACAAATCTAGTTCTTATAAATCAACTCTTGAAAAAGTTTTTCAATTTTTAAATGAAATTATGATCGCCTTTCTGATAACAGCGATTATGAAGAGAATGATAGGAGAACGTTTGGAGATAGTCAAGATCTTCACAAAAGGTGATTACTGTGACCGGTCACCGTAGAATAACCGGTAGTATTATTTATTTTATTTTTTTATTTTGATTACAGCTTGATGCCACACCGTATTTTCAGTACAAGTATGGAATTTTCAGCATGGATATCGGTAGCCCAAATTTACAGACCAACCATAGATATCAGGTGTGCGTCGGCAGGGGATAGAACCCCGGACCATGTTCATGTTCGACGAGAGTCCTAACCACTGTGCCACCGACGCACAGTATCATGAAGTTTGTGAGACGTTGACTGTCCTTGAAATCCAGATCTTCTAGGACCTTATTATCGATTTGACGTAATCCTTTCCTCTCCCTCCCCTCGACGGACAGTCTAACGCATAATCCAGTCCACCACAGCTAGAAATATCATCACTGATAGTGGACAGCTTTGCCTTACTTCTGTTCTTAAACGAAAGGGTTCACTGAGTTTTCCGTTGTGACGCATTTGACGCATCGCATTGTCATATAGATGTTGAATAAGATCGATAAAGGTTTAGGGACACTGGACAGTGGCTACATCAGACGTTTCATTCACTTCTGAATAGCACAGATTTCTATGTCAATGGAGACAAGTGTAAACAGTAATAACAGTGATAAAATGAAACGTCCAATTTTTGAAGAAACATTATTACTGTATATTTGCTTCTGGGAGGTTTGAATTAACTGAATTTCTCTCATCTATTCTACTAGTTGCCTTTTACCATAACCGCTTATTACTGGGAGACTTCCTTTCTAGTGGTTGATACCTACATAGCTGTCACTGAGATAACTTTCAGTCCTTTGATGTATTTAACTACTTTTGACCAACAGGAGAGGGCAATATAAGTGCATCCACCCACCCACACACATAAATACTGTAAAATGTGCTTCCGCATTTCATATCAAGTGGTATATGAATGCCGGTGAAAAGGTGTGGCTGTGTAGGTGAGTGCGGTTCTCTATATATACTTACAAAAAGTGCATTGTAAAAGTAAAGAGTAAAGCTCTTAAAAGGAAATTATTCAATTATTTAATAAGTCGGCTACTAGGTTTGTGAAGGGTAATTTGATTGGTTCATTGATTGCTTTCAAGGTTGATTTCTTCTACGTTGAAATTGACGTCTGCTTTGTAAGCTGGTAAACATTAAGAAGTATTGATAAAAACTGTAATGCCTAATTGATTGATCTCTCCGTTGATGACTGGTTATAAGGATTTGAGGAATTCCATTATTATTATCATTATTGTTTGCTTTAGTTTCTAGAGGAACATAGGGCTTCAGTGGCAGGTCTCCATTGCATTCGGTTCTCTTCCAACGTTTTCAACTGGCTCCACATCTTCCCACAAACTTTCATCTCCTCTTCGCATGACCTCCTTTATGACACCCTCACACTGACGACCAACTCGCCGCTTCCCGTTCCATTGGGGTCCCACTCGAGTGATGGCCTGTCTGGTGATGTCACTCAATTGATGGTTTGTTTTCTCAGAGTATGGCCAGTCCACCTTCATTTCTTCCTGCTTATTTGTCGCACAGTCGGTTCCTGGTTGGCTCGCTTCCGGGGATCCCTGTTGCTGATCTTTTCTGGCTGGCCATCTGATCTTGGGTAGTATTGAGCGAAGGCAGACGTTGATCAAGGTTTGTTGTTTCTTCGAAGTGCCTTTCTTGACGCTCAAAGTTTCTCATCCTTATAGTAGCACTAACTGACTTCACATTGAATTTGAAAATCCGGATCTCATTTTTCATGCAAAGTGGTGAGTGTTGATCTCTACGCAGACTTGAGGGAAATGAAAGCTTGCCTTGCTTTCCCAATCCTTGCTTTTATATCCTCGTCAGTTCCGTCCACATGTAGTTGAAACGATGCTTCCCAGGTAGGTGGGTAGGTGAAGGAGGTTGCTACTTTCAGATTTCTCCCATTTATGCTGATTGTTGTCTGTTGTTGTTGCTGTTGCTTTTGGCCAATAATCTTCATCACCTCCGTCTCCATCTTCTTTATGTTCACCTGAAGTCCTATCTTTGATGCTTCTTCTGCCAACTTGTTGCTTTTCATCACTTGCATATCTTCCAGTTTGTGGGAAATCAGACATATATCATCGGTGAGGTCCATATCCTCCAAGTTTTTTGTATGGGTCCATTTTACGCCTGTCTTCTCCCTGCTCGCTGTGTGTCTGTCGCATTATCCAGTCTACCGCCCACTCCCGTCTTTACTTCTTCAAATGATTCCGTGAGTTTCTCGTTTTGGATTACTGGACATGCAGCATTGTCGTACAACTGTTAGATGAGATGTATAATTGTCGGCGGCACCCCTTGGTAGTAGCGAAGTAGTTTCCAAATCACCTCTCTGCCAACTCTGTCTAAAGCCCTTTCAAAGCCGATGAAGTTGAGATAGAGAGCTGACTGCTATTCCAGGCTATGTTCAGTGATAATCCATAGTGTTGTGATTTGATCGATGCATGGTTCGATTCCATATAGAAGTTGATTAATGACGACAGAGTTGACCGTGGAGTAATTTGAAGACTACCTCAACACTGTGGCGTGCAATACCCGAAAATTTTTTCAACATCATTCAACAGCTGCCTATATGACTATGCCGCTTGTTAAGTAATCTACAACAGAAATCTAAGTGACGCCGTTGAAGTGAAGATGGGATTAAGGCAAGACCGGTGCCTACTGTGACCGATGATATTCTCAATTGTGGTGAACTGGATTATTCAAAAGACAGTTTTCGGGGAAGGAAAATATTGGAATATTTTGAATTGCCAACAATTTGCCTCTAACACCAAATAAATTCGATGATATACAGGTGGGAAACAACAAGCTGACAGAGGAAGCAGGCAGCAAAGAGAGAAATTCAAGTGAACATAAAGAAGAAGACAGAAGTGATGAAGACAACTAAGGAATAATGACAAGAACAAGCGCCGATCGCTGTGTTTGGAATTAATTTGAAAGAGGTCACTTCCTTTAATTGTCTATACCACAGCGCTTCAATTTCAAAGGGGAACGGAATAGGGTATCAAAGTTAGAATTAGAAAGACAAGGCGGATCTTCATCATTCTGTAACCAGTGTGGAAATCTTCTACACTCTGCATTGGCAACAAAATTTGAACACTAATGCGAAATGAGTCAGTGCTTCTGTATAGGTGAAAAACTTGGCGAACGTGTCACGAAGAGCACTTCGAACAGGCTACTGCAGACATTTATCAACAGTTGTCTTCAATGGCTGCATAATAAAGATCTGACAGCGAAGTCTTACTCCTGGCAAAAAGAGATGGAAAAACAATCAGTTGTTCCCTTCAAACTGTGATTAGAGCTGTCTGCCAGTCAAAATTGTGTACAACAATTTACGTCAATGTTTACGTCCCGAATCGGCGTCACGAGAAAAAGCAATAACAAAGCCTTATCTTGAGGAACTAAACAACCAATCACAGCAGATTTAGCCTGTGCACATACGATTTGCAGATATATGGATAACTTTGTAAGTAACGGTCACAAGGGCAGTAGAGAATAACCTTGAGCAGGAAAACAACCAATCAGAAGACGATGCTTCTCTGCTAACAATCGCGCTAACAATAATGTACATAAAAGTCTATAAGTATCTGTTGATTTTCTCAATAGATGATCTGTTGCGTGGCCCTTGTCTTCTGTCGTTACAATACTCTGGAGAGGGTGGAAATTAGAAAAGATCAACGCCGTAAATCCAACATCGTGACTTACCTTATGGCGTTTTGTAGCCATCGGTAAGGCCTTAATACGGAGCGAATCCAAGACACTCCACTTATAAAAGACCGTGTGTGTAGCTTGCCTCAAGAAGGGAACAACTCTCGCGTTGTAAGCAGCGGTGAAGGAATACCCCACCCCCACCGGTGCAGTAAACTCTTCCATAACCATACAAAGCTTTC